GATCCTGCGACTCAATTAATTTAATGCACATTGTATGTTAGTGCATACTTTCTACTAAAAACATATTATAAAACTCTATTAACATAAGCCTTCAACATATTAAACACAATTAGTTCAAATAGACTCATGAATCTATGAATTTTTATGAGCAAAATTTTATAATTTTATTTGTGATATAGTACAGAATATCAAAAACAAAAATATGCAAGTTGTCAAAATATAAAATCTTTAAATGAAAGAAAAAATACTTTTTTGAGGAGTTAAATACATTTAAAAATTGGCATTTGGAGAAGATGATTTTGCTGCTTGAAATCTGAATAACTAAATATTGAAAATTTAAAAAACATCTTAAAATGTTTAAGGGAAAGAATTAAATGCTGTATTTCACCGCACTTAAAATTTTAAGAATATTGATTTATGAGCATTTTTTTTAAGTTCATTTTTTAATAAATGATTTTAGTTTCACATTTTATATTCAGTTATTTTATTCATGAAATGAAATTTTTTCTTTCATTAATAGTAGTATATATTTGTTTCGAAAAAGAAGTGAGAATCAGGGTTTGGCTGGAAACTGTAGCAATCTGTACGCAAGATAAAAGCATTTAGGAACTTTTCAGGAAACTAACAAGACCTTAGTTCTGAGTATGGCATTGTAAAACAAGCTAAGCGGCTGAACTCAGGGGGGAGGGACAAATTACAGCTAATTATACTATTGAGGAGAGTCAACTGTTAGAACGGGTGTTTCGATCAAGCGTAACTCCTGGAAATCTGTCCCATGGAGGTAGGAAGAAGCTTTCTTACCTCCATGATCTGTCCCCTCTGGGCGCTTAAGGATATTTGGTTAATAAAAGACAGCTGAAAATTTCAGTCATTACTGATGATGCTCCACGTACAGACAGAAACAGCATTTCTTAACTTGTATATTTTACAGCTACCATGCAGTTTAAAAAGAGAACCCAGAAAGGTTTAGTTAAGAGTTTACCAAACATGTTTAGATCACCCTTTCTTGTTTGTTTTTGATAAAGACCTTTGCCTCTTTTGCATATATCTATTCATACATACATATTTATTTAATTAATATATAATTTCATCAATGAATTATGCATATTAAAATTATAGATTTAATGGATATTTTTTTTTCTCTCTTTTTTGGCCAACCTTCAGCAAAATGAATAATGAATAATACAACATTTTAATCTTTTCCCAATAAAATTACATATTCATGTAGTTTGATTAAGGAGGCAAAACTTTTCGATTATACGCATGATAAAAACATCATAAATTCAAACTTTGTCACTGAGAATGGAAAATATTTAGAATGAGGCAAACATTTTCCAAAATTAAATATTTTTTTAATTATATAAATTTTAAGCAGTGTGTTTTTAGAACTGTGCAATATGCATTTATTTCCTTTTTTATTTCTTTATTATTAAATATTTCTTCAGACCAATAAGAGAAATATACAGATTTTCCCGAAACATGTTTTACTCTGTCAAAATAACGTTGAAAATTTGGTGTCTGGTCTTTACACATAAAAATTATAAAATTTGCTTTTACAATTTAATGTATTTAAGCACAAAACTTTATGTAAATAATGAGAAGAATATAAATAAAAAGAAATGAAAAAATATAAGTGCTTTACAAGTATATGAAATTGGTATAATGCTTTAAAATTACTGTGGTTATTTCCCCCCCCCCAGTTCAATCATCAAAAGAAATCAGACAAGCAATTATGATATTTGTTATTTACAGTGGTGTACATGGATGTACTGAATTCTACATTTACCTCATTGATTTATATAATTCACAGTATATCTTTGTTTATTATTATGAATTGTGAAACTAAAACTACAGTTAATTACAGATGAAAAAAAAACTAAAAGATTTGTAAAATTATTAAAACTAAAAGATACTTTTGTTTGATTTAAGACGTAAACTATGGAAATTAATATGCCTTCTTTCAAGATATCTTTTTCCAATAGTTTAATGAGTAGAAGAACTAAATACTTTCATTTTATTGAAAAAATATTCTTTCTGGTAACTTTAATTAAAAAATAATCATGCAACAAAGCAATCTCGGATTTTAAAATTTAGTTATGATTGATATTCAAAATCATGTTTCTAAAGCATTTAAAATGACACATAAAAATATTACATTTTCTTATTCCAAACAGTTTGTCATTTAAATACAAAAAAAAAAAAAAAAAAAAAAAAAAAAAAAAAAAACAAAAAAAAAAAAAAAAAAAAAAAAAAAAAAAAAAAAAAAAAAAAAAAAAAAAAAAAAAAAAAAAAAAAAAAAAAAAAAAAAAAAATTATACTTGAAACGTTTTCCCTCACTGAAAATAAATGCCAATGTAAAATACATGCAGTTTTTATCCTTGATCCTTGAAATTGTATAAGGAGAATTAAATTAGTTTTTATTTCATTAAATTTATTTTTAATTAAAAATTTACAAAAAAAATTAGTCCCTTCAAAGTTGCTAAGCAAAGAAATCCAAGGACAAAAAATCGTCCCAAAATAGAATCTCACTGAGAAATATTAATTTTAATTTCACTACAGATTTCTGAAGTGCATAAATTAAGATATTTTGAAAATTAAGAAACACCGAAGAACATTAAAAATTGTCTTAGGAAGTTGGTCACTGCAAGTTCAATAAGTAACTATGAAATTTTCGAATAAAATGTATATGAAAAATTAAATAATACTTTTACAGTGCTAATAAGAAATAACTAAATCTAAAAGTAAATGTAAGCTATTCAATTTAAAGCGACCACTTAAAATTCCGTATTTTTTTAATTTTGTATGGATGTGGTGAACTAGCGTAATAATGATCAAAACCTATGTTATTGATCTCAAAAACACTGTTCGTCTTAGATAGTCACCAAGGAGGTTCACTGCAAGTATACAGTATTTCTAAAAAACAAAACAAAGCTGCGTGAAGATTTTCATGATTTTCCTAAAGTATAATGTGCATATGAACCAGTTTCTCAGAATGTACTCTACAAAGGAATCCTACCCCTTAAGCAGATAGCCATAGTGTGTTTTGGCACAATCTAATAAATTCAAACCCTACTGAAATATTATATAGCTGACTTTCATCATAACTAACAAATCGACATTCAAGTAACTGACTGCATGCTGTGTATGAAAATTTTAATAACACTTTAAGAATAAACTGAAACAAAACAAGAAATAATTTTCACTATAAGAGTATTAGATTAACAAAAGTGAAGAAAATAATCTCATAATTAAGTTAGCAATTTTTTATAGATAAGGTTATGCAGTTGCTTACCTTCTTTTTTCTAATCTTTTTTAGATTATACAAAATGGAAAGTAATGTCACTTTATAATATGATAGAGAAAAATAAAAATGCTTTATTTTAATGTTATTTCTTAAATACAATTTCAAGATATTACCATTATTTTAATGAAATTTATCAATGTTGTAAGCTTTAAAAAAATTGGCAAAAAATTCTCAGATTTCCAAATTAAAAATTTTCTACAGAAATTGATCTTAAAATCGTCAAAATGATGAAAGAATTCACATCCCCAAAAAGTTATTACGAGCTCTTCATTGGAAAAAATGAAATAATTTCAAAATGCTTATGTTTCACTTTAGTGATACTCAAACTTGAGTATCGCACTGTTTGTATTAGAAAGAGGAACAAATTTATAACTCATGATCCCATTCAAAAGATAGCCTTATTTGTCAGTGAATCGCTAAAAATATTCCCCCAAAATGCTTAATTCACACTGAAAGGGGCAGTAGTAAAAACAAACAGAAATTTCAGATAATTAAAATTAAGGACCTTCTCCTGATTTCGGTTGAAATTAAGGACATTTAAGGACCAAATATCGATTTAGAAAAACCTGAGGACTTTTAGGATTCTTAAGGATCATACGAACCCTGTTATTTTTCAGACCAATTTCTTTTTTGCCCTTGCACTTGAGTATTTCTTAGCGAATTTACTGATGGGAAATATTTTTCGAAAAAAGCTCAGCATGATTCGATGCAATGAGTGGGAGGAAGTGCCAGTAAAAAGGCAGAGAATGGGCATTCTGGATAATTAACTTTTTGGTCTTTTGTTTCCATATAATTTCTTTTTTCCAATACAACTGATGCTGTCCTTGCGTACGCAAGCACATGCTTCAGAACATTGGCCCTTTCACCCTGCGAAATCAAAAAATTTCAATGACAGATGATATACGTAGCAATATTACATCTTCTTAAAATAACAGAAGGAAAGTCATCTGTGTATGATTTTTGAAAAGTAGCTGAGTATTTTACATTTTTCATACAAATAACTAAGACAAAAGATCACAGTTTCTTAATATGTTCCTAGGAAGCACACGAAACTTAAGCTGCTCACGCATGAGACAAACAAAATAAACAACCTTGATCTAGCTTTGTGTATCATTTGCTAATATATGCCAGGTGAACCACAGTGGTGCTTGATTCTCACTGGAGAACTGAAACATGACATTTTCAGACACGGGTTTTGGATTTATACACAACGCAGAAGCACACGATTTGCCACTGATAAAATGACATGGGTATTTTTATATGCATCTAGAGAAAAACTCAGACACCAAAAATCACTTTTTTAGCTGAAAATAATGAAGTATTGAGCCAAGCTATATAAAAATCATGAGAAATTTTTTTTTAAATCACAGAAAGCCCAGAGAAATGTGTTGAAAATCGGGTTTATGGAAGTATAGTCAGAAATTGGCAGTCTCCCGCCTCAATCGGGAGAATTAGCAACACTGCTATATTTACTTCAGATTATGGATGAGACAAAGAAGTCTGTGCAATACTGAAAGAGTTGATACAAATAGACCTGCAACAGTGTTCAGCAACAGAAGACTAATGTACATAGCTAGAGGATAGCACTTCAGATTTTAACAATAGCTTTTGTCTTCAAGTGCATTATTTAACAGTCACATATCTTATATGCATAATGCACACAACCTGGAAGAAAGTAAATAATGTATGTACTCACTCGGAAAAATGCCTGCTTCTTAACATCCTCAGCATCTCTTTCACTTGCTCCTAACCTTCTTTCAGGATTTTTTCGCAAAAGCTAAACATACAAATATTTGTTGAATTTCTACAATTTTCAACATGGCAATTAAAATGTATATATACAAATTTATTGCAATTCTATTGAAATACAATATCAAACACATAAAATTAATTACACATATTATCCAAAATTTTTACTTACACGCCTCATAATAGCAATAGATTCGAGAGAGAGAAATGTGGGATACCGAACTTCATCATTAACAATGCTGTCAAATACTTCTTCTTCATCATCTCCAGGGAAAGGAGACTATAATAAAATATTTTAATTGTTAAAATAAATACTTAAAAAGTTAGAGCAAAAATTAAACACAAAATTTTATATTTCAAACTTGTAAAGGAAAAAAGCTTGAGTTTGTATTTTGAACATACAAAGAGATACACAAAAGGTACATTTATTGGCTTTAAGCCAAGTATAGATGTAAAAAAATGCAAACAAAGAGAAAGAATATTTAATGTAAAAAATAGGCTATCTTTCTGTATTTATTAAGCAATTAATTTATAATTTTCACAAAAAGAGGAGAGGAAAGCAAAATAAATAATTTAAAAAGTGCAGAACTAAACAACCATAAAACATATTTAATTTAGTTTACATAGTAATAACATGTTTAACTTAGTTCCATAAAACTAAATTAAACAACAATATACGTAGATTGTTTTTTTTCAACCTCCGATCGCACAGCATGATGGCCAGGTATGCGGCAGGTGGTTGGTGTGCATAGTAGGCGACTGCGCATCTTCCCCTCCACACGCTCTGTCACTGGCGCATTCAACACGCCATTTTCTGTTAAGCTGCAGTCACGCAGACATGGCTGTCGCTATTGATTCTCCCGCCAAGTGTGAATTGCGAGCTGTTATTCGTTTCTTGCAGGCAGAAGGGAACAGTGCAGCGGAAATTCATCGAAGAATGAATCGAGTGTATGGAAACAGCTTTATGAGTGATGGTGTCGAAAGTTTAAAGATGGTCAAACTGATGTGCATGATGAAGGAGGTGAAGGACGCATGTCTGTCGCTACAGACGACATTGTACAATGGGTTGACCAAGCGGTTAAGCAAAATCGAAGGTTAACCATAAGTGAATTATCGATGAAATTTCCGGAAGTTTCCAAGATCTTTCCTGTACTCTATTGTTACTGAACAGTTGCACTACAGAAAAGTTTGCACTCGCTGGGTCCCAACAGATGTTGACTGACGACTACAAAATTCGACGGATGGTTGCAGCGTTTGAGTTTCTTGACCCTTACAATACTGATGAAGAAGAGTTTTTGAAATCCATTGTGACAGGTGATGAGACTTGGATTCAATATGACACGCCCGAAACGAAACGACAATCACAACTATGGATGCACAGAAATTCTCCAAAGAGACCCACAAAATTCAAACGAACCTTTAACAACCGTAAGGTTATGGCAACTGTTTTTGGGGACCAAAAAGGTGTGTTGCTTGTGGAGTTTATGCAGCCTAGAACAGCAATTAATGCAGATACATAAAAAAAAAAAAAAAAAAAAAAAAACAAAAAAAAAAAAAAAAAAAAAAAAAACAAAAAAAAAAAAAAAAAAAAAAAAAAAAAAAAAAAAAAAAAAAAAAAAAAAAAAAAAAAAAAAAAAAAAAAAAAACATTTGCGATGCTTATGGAGAGCTATTTGAAACAAACAAAGAGGCATGCTGACTTCTGGAATTGTTCTGATCCATGAACAATGCTTGTTCCATCATCACAGCATCGTGTAACCCAACGGCTCCTTTCAGCAATTTCAATGGGACCATTTTCGAACACCCACCATATATAGTCCCGACCTAGTCACCTAAGTGGACTTTCATCTTTTCCCTGAACTGAAGCAGTGGCTTCCTTGGGGAACAGCAGCAATTCCAATAATGATTTGTGGAGCTCGAAAGAAACCATCGCAACTCACTTCCAATCATTGGGCAGGGGAACATTTTATGGAAAGAGGGTATTGCAAAGCTTGTTCACAGATATGACAAATGCCTCAATCGCCAAGGTGATTATGTAGAGAAATAACCTGTATTGTACATTACTTTTGGTAATAAAATCTTTTTTGTATATTCACCCGTCTTTTCTTTATGGCCCATCGGAGGTTGAAAAAAAAATAGCCCTCGTATTTAAGTGAACTAAAAACCAAATTTCTATGTTGTAAAATTTAACTAAATTTTCTCATGTAACATTTTGTTAAACAAAATTTCAAATATAAAAATAAACTTCCTTTCGATATAATAAGAATTAAAAAATGAAAATTTGACTAAATTTTGTTTTAGGAATATAAAACCGAATAAAATTCTATTTAAGACCCGTTTTGATACTTTCAAATCCAAATAAAAAACAGATTTAATTTAAATATTGCTTTCCTTTGCATTTTGTAAACACATAATTTGATCACAAAGTTAAAGAATTTTTACAAGTTACAGAAACGACTATAGAAATGTTTTCAGAAAAAAAAGGAGGAGAGATATATTATATTGCAAATAAATGCAACATAATTTTAATAAACTGCAAGTAAATAAATACATCCAAAAATTACAGATGCAAAAATAAAGAATGAGATTTTAAAATTTTACATAGAAAATTGTATCCGGGTATTTCCGCCAAATTCTGAAGTTTTCTGATTTATTCATGTATGGAAGTTTCATGTTTGTGAGGAGAATCATTATTTACTTCTCTTTTAAAACTCATGAAAAATATATTTTTCATTTCATTTTTTTCCTTTTACGGCTTGCTTGCAAAAAAAAAAAAAAAAAAAAACAGTACAATCCATATGCTGCCTTTTCCACATAACATTGCGAAAAGAAAAGGTATTATGTAGATTATCATGTATGTGATAATTTAGAGGTTCACAATTGTGGTACGATTCCCTTTTTAGTCATGGTCCAAGTGATAATAGATGTGACACACAAGAAGATAATACAGCAGATGTCTTGAACTCTTAAAAGGACCATAAAATCCTTGGATAATCACAATACATCTTTATTACTTGATGATTAAGCTGGTCAAACATCACATTCAGTAGCACAATCAAGGACAATCTGCCCCTTAAAATTTTTAAATACACACTCACATTTTTTAAAACAATAGAGAAAGGAAAAGACCTTATTTATTCAAGCAGCAGAAGGGGAGAAAAAGTAATATATACTAACTGCAGTCATATTTATAAGCCAGAAAGTCTTTGTTTTAATCATGAACAATGAATGGGATAAATGCAATGCAGTGTGACGCAAAATAGTGCAAAGCATATCCTTGAAGTAGAGATGTGTTTAATTAAAATTTATGAATTTAAAGGTCTATTGCCAATTGGTTCCAATTAAGTTTGATAATTTTGTTTCATATTTTATATTTTACATATATATCAGAAATTAAAATAATATTTTGTATCTTATCAATTTATAAATCCAATATCAAACTAACTCTTAAAAAAATTGTAAAATTTTAAATGGAAGCATTTAAATTTTAAATTAGACAAGTATTTTTTTTAAACTATGAGCTAGTAATAACAGATTTTTTCATTTGTACCTCTCCAACCAACATTTCATATATGAGAACACCCAGACCCCACCAGTCAACAGCACGGGTATATGAAGTTTCTGTTAAAACTTCAGGAGCCAAGAATTCTGGAGTCCCACAGAATGTTCCTGTGCGGTCACCATAGCCCATTCCTTCTTTACAGAGGCCAAAGTCTGCTATCTTGACATATCCCTCAGAATCCAGGAGCAAGTTGTCTAGTTTCAAATCCCTATAAATAAACAGAGGAAAGATGTGTTTAAAAATATTTTAACACATTTATGTATCTTTATAGCCATGATATATTTAAAAAAAAGTTACACTTACCTGTAAATAATTTTGTTTTCATGTAAGTACTGTAAACCCAAAACAACACAAGCTGCGTAAAAAACAGCTCTTGGTTCTGGAAAAATGTCTGTGTGAATATGCATCATTAAGTCTCCACCACATGCATATTCCATGACAAAACAAACATGTGTCTGGGGAGAAAAAAGAGAAAGAGGCTTATTTATTTTAATTTTCATATTTTTATTCATTATAGTCATGAGCTATTTCTGATTTAAATACATAAATCAGGGTTGCCACTCAAACAGGAGAATGAAATTCCCTGACTTTTCCAGGTTTTCCAGGTGTGTTTCAAGAAAATTCCAGTCTATCCGCGTAATGTACGTTGGCTGTGCTAAGAGGTAAATTAATTATGGTATTACTTGTATTGTGTAGCAAATTCACTTAATTATTCAATAACTCCCAGAGGACATTTATTCTTAATTATTCTTGTATATTTTGTTTGATAATTTTGTTTAGTTTCCACTTAAGAAACTTAATAAAATTTAAGATATATATATTGGATAAAAATGTATGTTTTATTTAATTATTACTCATGATCATCACCAGTTCAACACGAGGCTAATCTGGTCCTTATAAATCACAACGCAATGCTAAATAGTTAGGTTAGATTTAGGTAAATTTAATTTGCATGAGGTATGTTTCTTAAAAGGCACCTTAACACTTGAAAACACAATATAATTATAATAGTTGTTGTTTTTCTCCACTGAAGATTGAGATTAGAATCTTCCCATCTGGAATAAAATAAGGCTTTTTTGCAGACATTCTTCAGCTAAACGAAAGAAAGAAATCTATTTTAATAAATTGAGCTATTTTATATTTATTTCGCAGCATACATAAGGAAAAAATGTGCATTAAATTTCATGATGGTATGTCATCATACTGCTATAATTAATTTCAGGATTATGCCAGAGAAAATTTCCTGAAATTTGGAAATATTATTTATTCATAATAAATAAATTTAGAGGGAAGAAGCAACATTAAATTATATGAATAACATAAAAATAATTACTTAAAAAATGAATAGAATAATCAACGATATTTTAGCGAATATAGTTATATTACATGCTAGCCTAGATGACTGATACTATTTTTTATTTTACTGCAAAATGACAAGGTATTTATTAAAAGAAAAAAAAAAAAAAATGGTTTAAAAAGATTTTGCAGGTAAAATTCTAGTATACGATAAGGCCTTGGGCAAGATTTTGAAAATTGTCGCCAAGACCAAAATGACACCGTTTACTGCTCATCCATCATGTCGACAAATCCCGTTGTACCATACATTAAGATTATTCTAACCAAAGAACGTCTATGTAAAGAAGAAAAGGTTCCATACACGTAGAATGCTATTACGCCGCTAGAATGCCGAGGGAAAATTAAACAAGAGATTTGGTGACGGAACCTGACAGCCAGAATTTCCCTCTCCGCGACGTGTACAGGACATTGAGAAACACGTGTTAAGAAGAAACGTTCTTGTACCAAAACGAAAACTACGAAAATCCGTTTTTAAATTGTTGCGAAAAATCCAAGAAGACACGTTTATCAAAAGGAACGTGTCTTCTTAGATTTTTCGCAATAATTTCAAAAACGGATTTTCGTAGTTTTTTTTTTTTTTTTTCCCCCCTCAAAATGACTAATCCATGAATTCATTTACTTGCGGCATAAAATTTTTTTCTTTTCCTTTAGAGTTTAACCACTTGTGCTATGACTAAACTTCACGGTTGCGGTGCCATGCGCTACAATATAACAAGCCGTAAAGTGTCTCATTTACGCCGCTCCGCATCTGCGAGTGCAATCCAGAGCTGTAACTCGAGAAATAAACAATCTCGTTGTTAGGCGACGTGTGCACCACGTTATTTTCATTTTTGCGATAAATGCTTATCGACGTGGTGTTCACGTCGCTCACGGTTTGAGACAAAAACATCTCGACGTGCGTGGCACGTCTTTTTAGCGCAAGTGGTTAAAGAAATTTTAAAGGATATTCATTTTATGAACTCTTGATAACGTGACCTTCGAGCTTCGACACCGGTTTCGAGCTTTGGCGACAGATATATCAGACATGCATAGCTGTTTCCCTCTATGATGGAACGGAGCCACGTCTGTTGCAGAGAGGTTTTCCTTCTTTACAATACATATTCTTTGATTCTAACCTCCATGGTACCGTATACTAGGATTAAACCCATTTTGTTTATACGAGAAACAGGTACTTTCTTTAGTTCATGCATGCACATGCGATTCTCGAAAATATGGAAACCAAAGTTGCGGGAAAGTTGCTTTGCCTTTCTAAAGACAATCAAATTGGAACTGCGAAAATTGGTCTATGCAGCTACCCGAATGACACTCACGTGATACATAATTCGCCAAAAAGTTACCTCTTCCGACGTCGGCGCAAAAATCCCTTTTTTGGCGGGATCGTTGTATGAACTTCCCTGACTTTTCCAGATTTTGACAAAAATACTTAAATTCCCTGAATATTTTGGTCAATTTTCGAATTCCCTGACTTTTCCCGGTTTTCCAGGTAGCGTGGCAACCCTGTTTGTAGGTAGGCCGAAAATATTGAGAATACGTTTTTTTTTTAACTCATTTCGTAACAACGACGTATTAAGAAAATTCGTAGCATGTGCAAACAAAACAAAACAAAATAATAATAATAATAATAATAATTAATCTGGCGCCCACAAAGAAAAGAGTGGGAGAAACAAGTTCAGCGCATTAGATTGGCTGGTTAAGCGGCGAGTTGGGAGAAACCGCAGGTTACTGGATTCGAAGTAGTCGGTAGTTGGCGGTAAAACACGATGCAATATCGAAAATCGCTGAATTGGCGAAAAATTCTAAAATTTCAACAAAAATCACTAAAAACACTCGAAAAAGGAAAAAAAAAAAAAATCGTAAAAAATGGATTACGATCGTAAAATTGTAAAGACAAACGCATTTTCGTAAAAATTACGAAAAATTCGTAAAAGTTGGCAGATATGCTACTGTGAAACTACAAAGATTTATAGGATTTTTGTAGAAAATTCCAGAACTCTGACATGTTTCTTTTCATAAAATAAATTTTATCAACCTATTACTGGACCTGTGTGCATTCAATCTATTACGAACCAGTACACACTGAACTTTTAAGATTTCCAGCAAAAGTTCAGTTGCATTTACTTTCATATATTACTAATTTTAGTATTAAGTCATTTCTTTTAAAAAGATATTCATCACAGCAAAAGCTGTTATTTATTATTAAAGACAGAAAGCGTTATTTCAGGATACATACAAGTTTTGCATTGCCAAGTTATGATTCTGATGATAGTGAGTACTTAACCAACGAAGAAAAATTGTCTTGTTCATTCATCTGAAAAGACTAGAAAACAAACCATTTATTACTGCAAAATCTGTGACTGCTATTCATATTTTATATATTGTTGTTTGCTTCAGAAGTTTCATACTTGAATATCCCAAATAATTTATAATTAAATTTTGATTTATAACATGTTCAAATCATAGTAAAAATAATACAGTTTAAAAATAGTGTATTTAAATTTATTCATAAATTTTCCTTTTAAATAAATTATACATTACAAATGAAATGAATTAAAAATATCTTTGTTACTGCAGGCTCAAATGCAAAGGGTTACAAAAAACTCTCAGATATATAAATGGCCCCTCATAAAAACCATATTTGCAATAACTTATGAATTTAAAAAATAATATCAATAAAGTTATTGCATTTAAAGAACTTCACAACAGAATATGCAAAGAATGCTTTCTGATGTTTTAGAAAAATGGAAAACTAAAATTTTTTACACTTTTTTTGAAGATGGTGAAAATAATACAGCAATTCTAAACAAAACACAATTTTCTATGCACATGTTTAAATAAATGGTATTTTCCCTTATTTTGACAATATTTATCTTCACATAAATTCACATAGATTTCAAAATCCAAAACTGTGGTTTGGCAGGAACCAGAACCAGATCCCTACCAAGCTATAATTACCTTATTTTCAGATTTCTCATCATTCAACTAAAAATGTTTCCCCTCCCTTATCAACATGAGATTAAGGGGTCAACATTTCCAGTATCTGTATTTCCAGAAATACTGAAAATACTAAAATAAGTGTATGTGTTCTGATAGATATTACTTAGAAGGTGACAAAGTGTAATATTCAACAAAACTCTCTACAGACATTTTCCATAAACTTTTGAACAAAGGGTCATGCATGAATATAACATATATCCAAAAGATACAGAAAGATACAAAAGTTTAAAATGCTGAAACACAAAAATAAATCAAGAAGGGTTAATGAAGGAAATCACTGTTCAAAAGTTTAAAATCAGAAGAATGCAAACTTTTAATAAAACTGGAATATGGACAATTGCTACAGTAAATTATCACCAGGAGGAAATGCTGACAAATCTACATAATGATAAAAAACATAACAATCAACAAGGTTTCAGTGTTGGAGAAATGTTTGACATGAAGTTTAGACAATCAGACCTCTAGAACTTATAAAAATCTCTGGTATGTAGGAAAAGACCCAATAGACCCAAATATGCACCTTCATCTTCCAAAGAATTTTTCATGAACACTGATAAAAAAAGGAGATACTAAATGCAACAGTTAAACTTCACTATATGCTAAGTAATCAATTAAAAATTACATAAATGCATTAAAACCAAATGGTAGGAAAAATATGAATAAAATGAAAAAAATAACCAAATATATAAATGATTTTAAAATAGGTTGGGGGGGGGAACATAAATTCAAGAGCTTTTAAATTTTCTTTAAGAAGAAAAACTTAAAAAGTGTATGCATTCTTTTATTATGAAGAAAACATTTTACAGAATTTATATTTGTTTATACTTGTCAAATGAATGGAAATAATTTAGTAAGCTATATTTTTACACTGTTAGAAGACTATATTGATTAACTATTCTATATATTATATAGCATAAAAACGAGATTTCTAATCCAGATATTTTAAAAGATATGAAACAGAAAACATACACAACCAATTTTCTTTTCATCATTACAAAGATCAAAATTCATTCAAATAACAATAAAACCAGAGGTAATAAAATCTGCTCTAGTAACTTACTTGAGTTTGGAAGCAGGCAAATAAATTCACCAGAAACGGATGGCGAATGGAATTAGCTATTTTAAAAATTCTTCTTTCAGCCATTAAACTTTCTACTTCATCTCTGGCAAGAATGTCTCCCTTTTTCAGTGCTTTTATAGCAAAATATTCATCTGTGTTTTTAAATTTACTTAATATAACCTACATAAATATTAATATTATTATCATTATAAAGTTGAGAGAGAGAGAAAAATTTAACACTTTATTTCAAAACAAATTGAAACACAGGAATAAGCTTCCATGCGTAAAACATACCATTATGAGAAAGCCAGAAAAAAATATTCACCTTTCCAAAATGACCTCTGCCAAGAAGACTAATAAACTGAAAATTTTCCAGAGAAAGACCAACTCTGACACTAAATAAAAATAAAAACGTATTATAAACATGAGTATGGAGATTTAAACAAACTTCAGTTTTAAGAAAGTTTTAAACAAAGTGAAGATACCATCTAATACAAAGCAAAATTTTCAGTACAGAGCAGCAAATAATTAAAATAATTTATTTGACAATAATACAAAGATAAAATGCTAAATGCAATTTGAGATAGTTAAATGAAACTGTATCCACCTTTCTTTATTAAAGTAACCAAACAAATAAAACATTGTGCAGGTTAATAAAGCAAAATGCAAAAATTTAAAAACTGTAATCATTTGTCGACATAAAATATATAGTTTTGAAATTAAATTATATAATAAACTTTTTTATCCACTACATCAATAGTACTCTAGTTTTTTTCCAATGGAACAACATTTGTTTTAAGAGATAACATATTTATCTAAATATTTCCTCCATTTTTTTAAAAAGCACTAATGAATAAATATACTTACATAATCATACTATGAATATCAGATAATTGCAAAATGATGGTCATTGTTAGTACAGTCAAAAAACGTTAATTCGGACACCCATAATCCGGACCTCAAAGCTGCAAACTTTCTGCGCATGCGTCGCATTGATTACGGCTGCGAATATGCTTGTGCGCGTGCGCAAAATACGTTTACCAATGAGCGTTTAATGTATAACGGACGGTATAAGCTAAGCTAAAATTATCTAATTCAGTTAATGTTGCAGATTGCGTTGTTCCTTAATCTTCGAATTGGATTCGGCTTATTATTTTTTGCAGACTATTAGAGCAATTTTATAAAAGAAAGCTTGAACTTTAGATTATGTCAAATAGAATTTCTGATATATATTTACTAATATGTAAAGGATCTACAAAGCAAAAGTATGTTTTGAAGTCCATTAAACAAAAAGTGGAATTGCTGCAAAAAATGGATAAAGGCATATCCTTTATTTATCTAAACTTTAACGTTTGTTTATCTTTAACGCCGCGGCGCGCAATGAATTGGAAGTTGATCTGTCAGCACTATCCTTATCTTCAGAGCAGATGTTTTTATTTTATTTGGCTTATAATTCCTTACTAAATGTAGTATTTCATCTCAATGTACTCCGTCTTTGATATGATTTAAATCAAATTCCTCGTCATTATAATTCGCTTCCGATAGCGAAGAAAGAAAGAAACAGAGGTTATTGAAAACGAAAAAAATTTCGATTGACTAAATTAGTCGGTATTCTCGACACAGCAATTATAGGACTTGAACAGTGGAACTTTGTAACTGAACAAGAAATTATGTCTGTTTATAGAATTAAAGAGAATGTATTACCACATAAAAAACGAAGCAATTACATTGAAAGAAATGTTTAATAAAGTAAACAAATAAATATTAAGCTTTTTTTTTTTTTTTTTGTAAATTTTGATACCCTTTAGATCATAATTGTTTTTTATTTCATAAATTACGGTTTCATATTTTTAATTTTATAATTTCGGCATGCTATCTCACTAGATTTAATATGATGATCTATAATCCGGAATCACCGAAGTCCCGATGAGTCCGGATTAACGACCTTTGACTGTATTATTCTGTTCTCTTCCATACTGCAGATTACCCCCTACCCATGTAGTATACATTTTTATTACAAACTAAAAGTTTCTAAATCTTATGTTCAAAATACTACAAGGTATCTGCAAGAGGAAGAATATGCAAATAAATATGATACATAATCGATGATGAATTTTATCAAACTCCAGTTATTCTTAACACCAGGTGACCATAAAATAACTTTACTTGTATATGAGCCTCTTAACAGCAATATGCCTGAACAAATGAAAATGAATCTCAAGATATAAGGACTGCAAAGCACATGTTCGGGTGTTACATGAATCATGGCAACTGAACTTTTATGATTACTGTTAGTGAACAAATTTTGAAAATTTTCAAAAGCAATACCTACTTTTTTTTTTTCTTCATTATTATGTGATTAGTACAGAGAAAAATCATAACTGACATCAGAATGTAATGTTTCATAAATCAGAAAATGTCAGTGCAAGAGTAATAATAAAGAAAAGGAAAGGAAATGAGAATTGAAGAAAGATAAATGTTGTTATGGAGAACAACATTTGCTCTTATACACAACATATTGTTGCTATGGATGAATGGTTCATACGTATAAAAACATACTGCTGCTATGGAGAAAAATGAATTGAGATCTATCCAAGACAAAAATACATCAAGGTTTGAAAAGCTTTTTCAATGCTGATTTGAAGTACAGAGGAGCTGAAAAATTGTCTTCGTACTTTAGTGAAATGTAAGAGTGCAGGCTCTCATGGGATCTTACCTGAATTTCTCATTAACCTCGGAGAGTCTGCAAAACTTTTATTATTGAAGTTTATAAACCAAACTTCAAGAAATAGTTTGTCAAGTGCCTGGGGAAAGGCTATGATAATACCAATTCTCAAACCTAACAAATCTGAAAAGAATTTGGACAGTTATCACCTAATCTCTCTTACAAACTTTTCATGTAAATTAACTGAGAGACTGGTTCCTAACAGATTGTTGTTTGTGTTGGATAAAGCTGCTGTAATTTCTGAAAGGCAAGTGGGTTTTCGAAGATACAGACATGCTGCTGAACAAATAGTCCGCTTATCTCTAGTACCCTTGCTATATTCGTAGATTTCAAAAATGCTTTTCATCAAATTTGGAGAGCTGGTTTGCTTAAAAGACTGATTTCTATGGCATTTCTGGCGACTTATACGAATGGATTAAAAGTTTTCTTGACCACCAATTCATAAGTGTTAAATATGGTCAAAATGTGTTGGGTTATCAACAAACAAAACAAAGTTTACTTCAGGCAGCAGTACTGAGTCCTATTCTTTTTAATGTTATGATAAACAATTTAATTATCAATATTTCTAGATCTGTTCTGGACATTACTATCTTGATATTTGCTGATGATACGGTGATAGATGCTACTGGATCAGACTTTTTTGTCCTGGAGAATGTCTTGCAATAAGCCTTAAAATGTTCTTAACACCTGGACTCATGAAAATAATATGGTAGTAAATAATGAAGAGGAAAAAAAAGAAAAAAAAAAAAAACCCTTCTAATCGTTCTTCCTTATTACCATATACCATGACATTCACCTTCATTATAATAATTGAGATCTAAATAGAACATATGATTTTGTTTACTTAGGCATTCATTTAGAAACAAAATTACTCTGAAAAACGCAAATACAGTCAAAAGTCTTTAATCTGGACTTGTCAGTACTTCGGTGATTCTGGATTATCAGTTTTTCCGGATTACAGATCATCAGTTTAAATCTGGTAAGATGGCATGCAGAAATTATAAAATTAAAAATACGAAACCGAAATTTATGAAATAAAGAGCAACTATGATCTAAAGGGTATCAAAATTTACAAAAAAAAAAAAAAAAAAAAAAAAAAAAAAAAAAGCTGAATATTTATTTGTTAACTTTATTAAACATTTCTTTCAGCGCGCGCATGCATAAAGAATACATTTCGCATAGTCGAAATTAGAAAATTGCAACCAGAAAACTATTTGATGTGTATTTGTGATATTTATAATGATAGGAATTTGATTTAAATCATATCAAAGACGGAGGAAATACTGCATTTACTAAGGAATTATAAGCCGAATAAAACAAAAACATCTGCGCTGAAGATAACGTTAGTGCTGACAGATCAACTTCCAGTACATTGGCCGCCGTGACGTCCCCCCCCCCACGCAGAGCAGCGTGAAATTGATAAACAGACTTCGGAATGGTTGGAGAAACAAAGGATATGCCTTTATCCATTTTTTGTAGCAATTCCACTTTTTGTTTGATGGACATCGAAACATGCTTTCGCTTTGTAGATCCTTTAGCAGCTCCAGAAAAGGAAATTCTTTTTGACATAATCGAAAGTTCAAGCTTAATTTTATAAAATTGCTCTAACAGTCTGCAAAAAATAATACGCTGGATCCAATTAGAAGATTAAGCAACAACGCAATCTGCAACATTAATTGAAATAGATAATTAGATAATTTTGGCTTAGCTTATACCATCCGTTATACATTAAACGCGCATGCATAAATGTATTATGCGAATGCGAAAATGCATATTGTATGCGTAAAGGCATTATGCGTTTATGCATGCGCAGAAAGTTTGTAGCTTTGAGGTCTGGATTATAGATCATTTCGGATTATGGACGTCCGGATTACAGACTTTTGACTGCAAATGCAGCCATTGATCAAGGATATATGATATCTAAACTACAGGTTATATGCATCCTGTTGCTGAATATAAAAATGAGGTTTTTATTATTGCCTTAGAGTGTTAGAAACAAGCTGAATATTTTCCAAAACAACATGTTGTCATTGATCACTGATGATTGTAGTAAAAATATATTAGTAGTATATGTAGTAAAAATATTATGGCACCATATGTGGTGAAAATATTTGTGGCAGTAAAAATATTTATATATTTTAATTTCTTATGTAATTATCAGCGAAGAAATTATAACAATGATTAAGAGTACATCACGTTGTTTCCGCAATAAACCCGAATGACAGGGATAAAATATGTGACCCACAGAGGATAGCAAAATAAAGTTACTTACCCCAGAAGTATGACTAACTGTATGTTACCAAATCAACTATATTTTATTCTTCATCTTTGATATTGAAATAAGCAATATAAATAATATGATTTTTATCAACCAGACAGACGAATAAATTTGAACATCAAGCACGAAGTGATGCGCATCACCAGAATTAACACTGCCACTCGGAGAATAAAGTCAATCTTTCTCGGATCCGCTCGAAACGAAGTCTTGGTGTAAAAGGAACAATCAAAATTTTGATGGCAGTTCATTAAGCATACTTGAATCAATCCTGGTATTTCTGCATTTTTCTACTTTAAATCAGGAAGTTTTGAAATCTCACAAACACGTGCGCGCGAAAGAGTTCTGGAAAGGAGGAAGAAGCTCAAAAAAATTATTTTCTGCAATGAGGTATA